TTCCCAGTTTGGAAAAAAAAAGCAATAGTAAATAATAGTAATAATAGAAAGTGTTTAGTTCATTTTAAGCAGGACAGTGTCATTATTTGATTTACATTTTGGGAAGCTGCCTCTTGATGCTAGATGGAGAATTGATCATAGCAGACCAGCTGTGAAGCTGCTGCTGGAGTCAGGGAGAGATGGCGGCGGTGGGGGCTGGGGCAGGTGGGAATGGGGTGAATTAGGGAAGTGTCTGGACTTGAGATTCGTTTTAAAGGCAATGATAATAGGATTATCTGATGGGTTATGTGAAGAGTGAGGAGTAGAAAAGGAATTCCGAATAATTCCTAGATGTTAGGCTTTCACCACTGGGTGAATGGTGCAGAAATGTAATGGCACGGAGGAAGCTGCGAAGGAGGTGGCTGCATTTTATTCGAGGTGTTTCTTAGGCAGCTACATGGAGATCTCACATGGGTGTAGATTCTGCTCTCACTGGCAGATGGGCGATTTTAAAGCCACTCGATGGCTGAGGTCACCCAGGAGAATGTAGAGAGAGAGAAGGAAACAAGGTCAAGGCAGTGAGCGGTGGAGGCTAAATCAGGAAAAGTGACCAGCACAGGCAGGGAGAGAAGGACAAGGAGCATGGGGTCGGGAAGTGGGGGGGAAGTCAGGGTTTCCCTCGGAAAAGGAAGAAGGTCGACATCATGGGATACTGCGGAGAAGTTAAACAGGGTACGAACAGGAGAGAGATTTTGGATCTGGACACCTGGAAATGATTGTACTTTTAAGAAGAGCAATTTCAGTGGACTGATAGGGCCAGACACGTGACAGGAGGGTTTGAGAAGATGACAGAAGGTGAGGGGTGTGGATGATTTAAGAAGAATACACACGTTCATGAGCTCCAGTGTTTACAAGTCATTATTTCAATCTCTTTTGTTTCCCATGCTGTGCTGAAAGCTACCAGTGTGTAACACGAAGATGAAATTTTTCAGAGCAAGAGAAGAAGGAAATTTCCCACTGCATTTGCTTGTGTACTTGCACCACGAGTGCACTAATCTATTGAACACGACATCACTATCATTGTTTCAGTTTTTAGTTCAAGTAGAGCCGTATCATTTCTGTTTCCTTGCCCTGGGCTTCCTTGACCATCAACTTTTTTAGGGCCCTTGGTACCTACACCTTAGTTTTTGGCTGGGAAATAACAAAGCCTTTTTCTCCTCCACATTCCCAGGCCTTCCCACTCCTTCCAAAACTAGGACTTACTCAGGCAAACAATGATTAGTGACCCCTAAAACGTTTAATAATTGACTCTTTGGAACCACTCGTGACAAAAGGCTACGGCAGGGAGCATTTGCCATTCTTCCTAACTGGTGGGATTAGCTCAAGAATTTGCCAATCAATTCCTGATTTCAATGCTTAGGAAAGTGACTTTCTAAATTCCATGTAGCAATTATAAGCTGGGGTCATACAGCTTATAATTGCTGTATGACCCCATACAGCAATGGGGTCTGAGGTGGTGGTTAAAAGGTTAAAAGGGGGACGGTCCCTTTATTTTCTAAACCTTTAGCAAATTGAGTGGAAGATATATGCATATGTATGTATACAATTTTTAATTTAAGGTGGGAGAAAACATTTGGGAGACATTTGAGCAGATTAACAAATAGTATTTGTATACATGTAACTAAAACAGTAATTTATCAGGTAGAAGGCAGATGGGGGGAATAAAGTGCCAACCTGGGTCTACAGTTGGGTTGTGTTGATGATGAAGTGCTGTTTATTCAGGGCCAGCCTAGCTTGTCAGCAACACAAGAACCATTGCAGCACATGACTCCCTGTGTAGCTAGAAGACAATAATAAATTATCTCCTATGCAAACAGCACCGGCATAAAAGCAGAACAAACATACTCTTCCTCCCAGAATCCTGAAGATTCTCACTCATTCACTTGTTTGAGTCTGTTTTAAACATGTCTTTTTGTTTCTCTCACATGCCTGGATGAATTCAGATGGCTTTCCGTTTTATCAGTACTTCATTTGATCCTGTGGAATTTGGGATCACCCAGAGGAAAACTCAGACAGTGTTACCCAAAGGAACTAGATCACTTAAAAGACATGATGGAAATACAGATTCTTGGACCTAATCTCTGACCCACTCAATGAGAACCCAATGCAAATCAGCCGAGGAATACGCGCTCCATGGTGACTTTTAAGATGAGGCTAGTTTGAGGAATAAGAAGCTGAGGATGTGAGACAGGACAAGTCCTCTAATAGCACTGAGAGACTCCAAAGGACTGGGTCATGGGGTTTCAAGGGCTAACAAATATATTTTGGAAGTTTATATACATAATAAAGAAGTATTTGCAAAGGAAAATTGTAAGGCTTTGCTATGCTGAAGACTTTAGTTACTGGGGAAAAGATCTGGGTAGATATTGTCCATTGTTTTTTCCTTTGGAGCCATACCTTCTTGTACACTTCATAATGGCAAAAAGTCCAGCACTGAGGATCTTGATCGGTCCCCAGTGATAATCTGAAATGTTAGTGTTATCTACTGAATGCACCCTGTGTGTAATATGAGGTTCGGTGGGATAAAAGGCTCTAAATATCAACTTTTAGTAGAAGTAAAAAAGTAGGTGAATTAGCTTTTTAATTTTTAAAAATGTCTACTTCAATATTATTATTGTGTCATTTGGGAAATAAATAAGAAGCATTAAAGCTGATAGTACTCTTTTTTAGAACCTATGCTTTCAAAGCTATTATATTTGGACAACATAAATGTCATTACCAAGACAGTACAGAGATCCTTGGTGTTTGTCAGCAATAGATCCTAAGACATTTTGTGGATTCTCATGCGCAATTCCTCATAACCAAAAAAGGGACCGTGGCCTCAAAAGATACCTGATGAGAGTGGCTGTCACGGAGCAGACAGTAAAGACTCCTTGAGCTGTGGAAGCTGGGGATGAATGGGCCACCCATCTGCCCTCTAAGGGCCCTCGCTGACCTTGAGATTCTGTTCAGCAGCATTATAAAATATGTGTATTCAATTACAAGAGGGACTTAAGCTAACAACCGCAATCAGTGTAACATAATTCTTTGTACCCTCAATGAATCCCAAAACAAGAGAAAAAAATCAAAATATGTGTATTATGGTTGTTTGAACTGACTGGTAAATAGTCTAAGCCACAAAAACCCAGTCCGCAGATGTCAAAGAATACATTAATGAGGGCATGGGAAATCTGCAACTGTCTTCACTGCTTAGATCTTCATAGGGGCTATCGTAGGAGAAGCATGTGGCACTTTCAGCGTTCCGTGGTACACATTTCTGTGTTGCTCTAGCCCAGTGTCTTTAACCTTTTTGATTTCACGGTATACTCGAACTTATAGTTACCCTTCCATGGCACACTTAAATTATGTTAATCAAAAAACAAAAAAGAGTTAAATAAATAGATAGATAAATATGTATATATATATATACTTACTGTGCTTTGAACTTCTTTTGAAAATAATTTAATCAGTGATCTTTAAAAATGTTTTTGGCACACTTAAGATCCTCTCATGGCGGGGTGGCACCAGTGGCTCAAAGGAGTAAGGCGCTGAGCCTATATGCCAGAGGTGGTGGGTTCAAACCCAGCTCCAGCCAAAAAAATCTGCAAAAAAAAGAAAAGAAAGAAAGATCCTCTCACGGCACACCAGTGTGCCCGAGCACACTGGTTGAAAATTGCTGCCCTAGTATCTTGCCAGCAGCAGACATAATTCTGATTGCTTTTCCAATCAGAAAAAAAAAAAAAAAAAAAAAAACGAACAGAATTCTTTAAATCCCTTGAGTGTACCACATGGCATTTTTCATCAAGTAGCACAAAAGACTAGCAGTTGATTATATACAGTGATCCCACGTGTGCTCTGGTACGTATGTATGATGGATGTACAGTATGACGAAGGAGTACAGATTATGTAGCATTGGCTGATTTTGTCTACGTGTCTCTCTAGTCATGTACCAAACATTTCTTGAACAACTAATATACGCCAGGTATTATGTTAGGGGCTAACGTGTGGCTTTCCTGTGCTTCTTTAAAGAGGAGAGACAGCCATGTAGCAAAGTGGTTCTGGTTGCAGCTAATAAAACTCAAGAGGCCGGGGCATTTTCTATGAATACTGTCAGCTACCGGCCTGGGTATTCCGAAGTAGTGGGTGTCCTTTCTGTCATTATCCATCCCTCTTTAGCTGCCCCACAGAGCAAGCAAAGCTGATATCCCAGTTCTTTGTAAAATCTCCCAGATTTCTCCACCCGAATAAAAACTACTCGGTAAACTCAGCTAAGTTCCTTCTTAGGAATTTCTGCCCAAAGTTAATAATAATCATTGCAAAACAAAATTATAGAAAAGAACAATGACTCCCTCCTACTTTGCTAGTGATAAACTGTGGTAATAGCAGACATTCCTACGTAGATCTTATTAGTGAAAGGAGGGAAAAATATACTTTGCAGAGAAACTATGTGAATGAATATTTTAGGTAAAATTGTTTAAGATGTTTATTCCTTACCTAAGTTATTCTTTTTTTTTTACTTTATTTTAATTAAATGATAGCTGTGTACATTAATGCAATCATGGGGTACAGTGTGGTGTTTTCATATACAACTTGAAATATTTTCATCAAACTGGTTAACATAGCCTTCATGTCATTTTTCTTAGTTATTGTGTTAAGATGTTTATATTCTACTTTTAGAAAGATTTGCTTGTACCTTTGTAAGATAAACCATAGAGGTGATCCCTTGAATCACCCTCCCTCTAGACATCCAGTTATTAATAATAATGACAAAAACTCTTCCCTTCCTCATAATGGGAAAACAAGCAAAGTATATTTGAAGCCACAACATAAAAGTTTCCCAACCTTTTCAAAGCAAAGTGTTTATTTCACTTTCCTGTAATAATTAATATCTGTCCTAATAGATCATAAAACTGGACACATTGGTGGCAAAACCCCTACAGCTGGGAAGTTTGACGTTAATATCAAATTTTCTTTTGTTTCAGAATTGTCTGTTTCACAGCAACATCACCAGTGATTTAAAAGCATTTGCAGACAAGTTTGGTTTTGACGTCCTCATCCTGTTCGCCAGCAGCCTATCAGAGGAGCAGCAGCCAAAACGACAGATTGCTGTGTACTCTGAGAACTTAGAGCTCTGCAGTCAGGTGAGCCTGGAGGTTTCAGGGAACCCTAACAGTCGGCTCTCAGAACATGCATGGCAAGACAGGAACAGATTAATGGCTTCTAAGAAATAGGTGGCTACATGAGGTGGCTCACACCTGCAATCCTAGCACTCTAGGGGAGGCTGAGAGGGGAGGGTTGCTTGGGGTCAGAAGTTCCAGACCCGCCTGAGCAAGAATGAGTCTCTACAAAAAATAGCAAAATGAGCAGATATAATGGTATATACCTGTAGCCCCTGCTACTCAGGAGGCTGAGGCAGGAAGATCACTGGAGCCCAGGATTTTGAGGTTACAGTGAGCTACGATGATGCCACAGCACTCTAGCCTGGGTAACAGAGCAAGACTTTGTCCCTCAAAGACAGAGATCAAGAGAGAGAGAAATTGGCCCAAGAGACAGGGTCTTAGAGATTTGAGTTTTAGGAAATATTGGGGGTATTTTGCATACTGGGCCTTTTTTAAATGCTACTCTCATTAGCATTTCTCTTCTGGACTGAATCCATGGAGTGAAAGATCCGATCTTTCTCCCGCAAGTGGAGACAAGTCCTCCTCTGGCTTCTGTTTTCTTCAGCGTTTACTCCCTGGTGATACCTGACCAGGTTTAGCCCCTGCGTCCTGTGTTTAGGACTGGTCGTCCGAGATGCTAATCAGAGACAGTTTGCCTCTAGGCACTAAAACTCTAGGTAATTAGTTGGATACTCTAGGTTGATAGCTGAGTTTTTTTTAACTCAAGGTGTCTGGGAAATAAGAAAATGAATGAATTAGACTCTTCATGCATCCAAGGGAGGCTAGAGGCAAAGTCTCTACTCATTTCTTTTCTACATCCTTCTTTCTGTCCTCCAACAACTCCGTCCGGTCTCTCTTGACACATGGCCTTGTGTTCTGTTAGGCTTTCTTTGCTTTCTTGAGGCCAAACAGAAGACCCCCTGCTCCTGCTGTGGGCACATTTTGCTCCTGCGTCTCTGGCCCACATGCATTATATCAGCAGCCTGTGGCATGTTCAATGCTTTATTCTGTAGTTTGTTTCAAAGCTAAATTTCATCTTTGGTCATTTGAAAGTTAGGCCTCCTAAGCCCCCAATATGGTGGTTTTCAAATTGCCCTTAGCTGCCCAGCCCTTTTTCTAACCTAGCTGAAAATTGATTCATTAAAAATAGACAAAAGTAGAAGACAAACCACCACCACCCTCCCAAGCCCACCCCACACTAGCAAAAGCTGAAGGCAGCTCCTCTCAATCTGGAGCCACACAGACAGGGCCGAGACCCTGAGCTCAGAGCTCAGGGTTCCTCACTTTCTGAATAAGTTATTTAACTTTCCTCTGTTTTCATTTCCTCGTAAATAAAGTAGGAATAAAAACAGTCCCTGCCTTGTGCTATCAGAGAAATACTGTAAGGATTAAAGGAGATAAATCATGTAAAACCCTTAGAAACATACCTGGCATGTGAACGCACTCAAGAAATGTTAATTATTATTGTGATGATGTTCACTGTGGTGGTGGTGGCAGCGATGGTGGTGGTGATTGTTATTTTTATTATTACCTACACTAATCCCGGGGGACCATTTCTTTACTTTTTTTTTTGGCAGTTTTTTTGGCCAGGGCCAGGTTTGAACCTGCCACCCCCGACATATGGGGCTGGCGCCCTACTTCTTTGAGCCACCAGCATCGCTCACCAGGGGGGCCATTTCAAAGTCTTAGTGAGGGAAAATACTCCTAATATTTCCTTGAGATCAGAGAGCCACACCCCACTGCTGGCCGGGCACTGACCCTCCTCACAGGGCCCCCTGCCTCTCGGTCACTTGTCTCTCTGTCTCTGTGTTTGTGTTCCCTGGGCCAGAAAGGGACAGCTGGGGCCTGGCACTGTTTGGGCTCCTGGTGGCTTCTTTGTCTTTCCTACCTTCTCTTGCCATATGAGGCCATCAGAGGTTAAAGCAGACCTGGCTGCCCGACCCTGAAAAGGAGCCTCTCTCCTGCCCACTTCCCCTCATTCCAACAGTTTGCCCATAGTTCTTGTTGGCGACCAGCTTTCTCTACTTTTTCAGAAACTTAATTTACACTCCTCTTGAATGATATCATACTACACAGAGGAAAGAATTAGGTGTTGGGTGGCCAGTATGAGACCAGAACTGGGCTGTGGCTCTTTACCCATAACTTTCGGGAGCCACTAAAATTGAGTAGCTGGATTTTGAGTTAAATGCAAAGGCAATTTGATAGTATTGGAGAAAGGGTTGGTGTTATGTTAAGTGGGACTTTCCATGTTTCATGTCATACAGTTCTCCATTGTTTTGAGGTTTCATTTTAAACAGATAAACACAGGTTAATTTTAATTTTATGTTTTAAAAAACTAAGGAAGGAAAATTGCCAAGTGCAGCAACTGAGTGCTCACTCAAACCCCTGTGCCTCCCAACAGATTTGCTGTGAGCTGGAAGAGTGTCAGGACCCTTGCCTGGAACTGGAGCCCTATGACTGTGGCTGTGATGAGATCCTGGTGTACCAGCAGGAGGACCCTTCAGTGACTTGTGATCAGGTGGTTCTCCTTGTCAAAGAAGTCCTCAACAGGAGGTGTTCGGAGATGGCCTCCAACAGCCGGACGTCCTCAACAGAAGCCGTGGCAGGCAGTGCTCCTCTCTCCCAGGGATCTTCTGGGATTATGGAGCTGTATGGTTCTGACATAGAGCCTCAGCCCAGCTCTGTGAATTTCATTGAAAACCCTCCAGATCTCAGTGATTCTAACCAGGCTCAGGTGGACGCCAACATAGACCTCGTGAGCCCAGACAGCGGGTTGGCCACCATTAGGAGCAGCCGTTCATCTAAGGAGAGCTCAGTTTTCCTCAGTGATGACAGCCCAGTCGGAGAAGGAGCTGGGCCTCACCATAGCCTCCTTCCAGGGCTTGACTCCTATAGCCCCATCCCTGAAGGGGCAGTAGCAGAGGAGAATGGTCGGTCTGGAGAACCCAGTGAACACTTTGACCTCTTCAACTTTGACCCAGCTCCTATGGCTTCTGGGCAGTCTCAACCATCTTCCCATTCTGCAGACTACTCCCCAGCAGATGACTTCTTCCCCAGCAGTGATTCATCAGAAGGACAGCTCCCTGCTGGACCTGAAGTGCTTGATGGGATGGGGATCGACATGTGTAATCATTCATCCAGTTCGCGTTTGTCGGGGCCTGGCAAAGATAACCTTGTGGAATTTGATGAGGAGTTTGCTCAGAGACAAGAAAGTCCTGGAGATAACTCTGAAAGTAATTTGAGCTTGACAGGTTTTGTGGGAGATAATTCTCCTTCACCAGAAAGGCTAAAAAATATTGGAAAGAGAATCCCACCAACACCTATGAATAGCTTTGTAGAAAGTTCACCATCTACTGAAGAACCAGACTCACTCTATCCAGAAGATATGGCTCAAAAAGCAATCAACATGGGTCACACGGGGCCACCTCAGACCCGTGCACGGTGCAGCAGCTGGTGGGGTGGTTTGGAAATTGACTCCAAAGATATTGCAGATGCTTGGAGTTCCAGTGGACAGGAGTCCATCTTCCAAAGCCCCGAATCTTGGAAAGATCCTAAGTCAAGCTCAGCTGATAGAAGAGCCTCAGATTCTATATTTCAACCAAAGAGTCTTGAATTCCCAAAGTCAGATCCCTGGGAGCCTGCATTCGGTCAGCCTAAGCTAGGTAGCAATGATGATCGAGACCCAAATGAGGAAAGCTTGCAGTTTCAGAACCTGCCCACAGAGAAATCGCATTTGCCAGATGCTTCTCCTCGGGGAACAAACCACCTGATAGAAGACTTTGCTGCTCTGTGGCATTCGGGTCACTCTCCCACAGCGATGCCTGAGCCATGGGGAAATCCTACGGATGATGGTGAACCAGCAGCTACAGCAGCATTCTCAGGCTGGAGTGCCTTTGGTAAAGAAGATAATGATGACGCTTTAAAAAATACCTGGAATCTGCACCCAACCAGTGGTGAGAAACCTTCTGTGAGGGACCCCAATGAGTGGGCCATGGCAAAAAGTGGGTTTTCTTTTTCTTCAGAAGAACTCCTGGACAATTCACCCGGTGAAACAAATAATGAAGCAGCTCCGGAAATGTGGGGCAAGAAGAGCAGCAACTCTAGGGATAAGGTCCTAGCATCTGGAAATCCCAGTTCTGATCTGGGTCACACATGGAATAATTCTAAGCCACCAGAGGCTGATCCCAATGGTTTCGTAGATCCTAAAACTAGGGAGAAGGTGTATGAAAAAGTCGACTCCTGGAATCTTTTTGAAGAGAGTATTAAAAAAAGAGCATCTGATGTCCTAGCTCCTTGGGAAGATTCCTTCTTATCCTATAAATGTCCTGATTACAGTGCATCCAACATGGGAGAAGATTCGGTCCCTTCCCCCTTGGACACCAACTACTCCACCTCTGACTCTTACACTTCACCAACATTTGCTGGCGATGAGAAAGAAACTGAAAGCAGGCCAGTGGCTAACGAAGAAGGTTTTGAGTCGAAAGATGCTCACTCTACTGCTCAGGAAGCTGAAACTCCTCCTCAGTCACCCGGGCAGCCGCCTAGAGATCGGATCAGTTCAGGGCCGGGGAACCTGGACATGTGGGCTTCGCCTCATGCAGACAATGGTTCAGAAGTAAATGCTGCTCATGACCCAGATAAAAATGTACTCAAGACAGAGCACGCAGATGGTAAGAGCGTCTCTGCAGAGGACGACGTGGGGGAGAGCAGCCAGTCCAGTTACGACGACCCCAGCATGATGCAGCTTTACAACGAGACAAACCGGCAGCTGACACTTCTGCACAGCAGCACCAACTCACGGCAGGCGGCCCCCGACACGCTGGATTTGTGGAACAGAGTGATCCTGGAGGACACGCAGTCCACGGCCACCATCTCAGATATGGACAATGATCTGGACTGGGATGACTGTAGCGGCGGTGTGGCGATCACCAGCGATGGCCAAGAAGAAGGCTATGTGGCTGATGGCTCAGAACCGGAAACCCGATTTTCAGTGAGACAGCTGGAACCCTGGGGCACGGAGTATCAGGAAGCTAACCAGGCAGACTGGGAAGTCCCTGCCTCTGCTGAGCACACCAGGGACGCCACTCCCAACCAATACCAGGAGCCGAATGAGAAAAGTGGACAGCTAGTCACCAACAGCATTTGGGATTCCGTCATGAGAGATGAAGACATGTCCTCACTCATATTACCCGGTTCATCAGACTTTATAGATTCAGAACAAAGCAAATTACCTCCCGAAATGACCAGCCTTGCCGCAAATGCTAAGGGTACTTGCACCCCAGATGTGCCGGAAGCCTCTGGAACCAGTGAGTCAGGAGCACTTACCCCTCTTCTTGACCGCCAGGAAACACCGAGGGAGACCCTGCAAAGTGATATGGTGCCCTTGGCGACCACGCTTGAGAATCCAGGGCATTTTGCATGGAAAGGTCATAGCTATGGACAAAGTGAGAAGGAGGCCAGCAGAGCCACTGCCAGGGGGAGCCCCGAGGAGGAGGAAGTCTTAGGCCTTGGGGTGGGTAGCATCTTGAGGATTTCTGAAAAAGGGCAAACTGACCAGGAACTCTCTTCTCCAGTGGCATCTGAACATCAAGAAATCTGTGGCGAATCAGGCAAAATCAGCCCTCTTTCAGTCACTCTCAGTCCTCGAACTGAGGAACCAGAGAAGGTCTTACAGTATGAGAAGGAGCCTTCTAATCGAGACCACTGTGATGTGCAAACAGAAGTATCCACAGGCAACCTGCAGGCACAAGATACCTATGAAAAGTACCACATGAGTCATAGAAATTCAGGAGCAGCCACTGATAGTTCTAGTAAGATAAATCTAACAAAAAATGTTTCCTTCCCTGAAATAGATCTTGAGAAAACCAAAGAATGTAACATTCTGGAGCTAGAGAGAGTGAACGCAGAACGCCCTCATGAATTTCCCCAAAGCCTTGCCATTCAGGATGGCCCTCTAGACAGTAATGTGCAGGTCAGTTGCACAAGTTCTGAGATAACTGACAATCTTGAAGTTAAGGAGACCGAGAACAGTCTTCCAGGAGTGAGTTCACCTGGAAATGATGGCAAAGGTAGTGTGTCGTCTACTGAGTATTCTCATTCAAGTGCCTCAAGTCCTGACCTCAACGATTCTTCAGCTGCATTGCCTTCCTGGGGCGAACAACCCCGTACGGAGCATGAGAAAGAGAACGGAGATAACTGGAGTGAGCAAAATTGCCAAGAAGCTGAACTAATTACCAGCACTGATGGCCAAGTAGAAGTAATTACTGAAAGGAAGGATTTAGAGAAAAACAAAGTGGATGAGTTTGAAAAGAGTTTCGATCACAAAGTTCCTAAATTTTTAGAGATTTGGAATGACTCCCTTGATGGTGACTCCTTATCCTCTTTATCCAGCCCTGAAACAGGTAAATATTCTGAATATTTAGGTGCACATCAGGAAAGAAATCTAATGGCTAGCCACCAGGAGGAAAATGAACGTGACATTCCTGCAACCGTGCAGCCAGAAGACGCCAAGGTCATTTCAAACAGCTCTGCTTCTGATGACGGTGGTGAAGAGTCAGTGGAGGAAGAGGCCCCTTTGGCCACTTGCCACGTTGCTCAGAGCGAACCCAGAGTTTGGGATTCATCAAATGAATCGAACAGTAAGTTCTTGGCCACAGCTGATCCCACGTCTGAGGAATTTTCTGACCAGCCCGGCAGCTCAGAACCAACAGAGAATGAGATTAAGTCAAACCCAGGCAGCGATGACCCACAAAGCAGCCCTGATCCCTGGAATTTTTCGCCACTGATGGAGACTAAGATACAGGTTACAGCAGTGGAGGAGACACACTCTACTCCAGAAACAAGGGAGACAGGAGATGTTATATGGCAAGTGTCTCCCAATACTGGACCAGAGAATGAAGGTAATTCTAAACTAGAAACGCTGGACTTTTCAGCTGAGAGCAGCGAGTGGTGGGATGCCTCGTCACGGGAGCACAGACCACCGGAGAGTGTATCTGAAGGCAAGCTGTCTGACTCCAGTGGCGTGTTAGAGATGAATTCTTCAGGGCACCAGAATGTAGGTCCCTGGGGAGTGCCCCTTCAGGGTGATACCCAGTCCACGGATACACACTGTACTAATCCTTTCAGTGACGGACATCAGTCACCCTTTCTGGATAGGGATGGGGAGAGCTCCCGTGACAAGCTTTGGAACATTCAACCAAGGCAGCCAGACCCAGATGCTGATCAGTTCAGCCAGCTTGTGATACTGGATCAAATTCAAAGAAATGACTCTAGACAACAAACCCTCATGCCTTCAGCTGGTGATGAACTCACTTCTGAAACGCCTACCCAAGAGCAGCATCAGGGTCCCACGCTGTCAGTCTGGGATGAACCAGACCCAGTATTTACTCACACCAGTGAAAATGGCTGTGTTTTATCTATTGTTCCAACTACTGAAACCAATTGGCGGGAGCAAGAACAATCATGCCTCGGTGAAGTGACAAATTTGAGCGTTGCCACCGAAAATTTCCCTGCTGTCAGTTCTCCCACCCAATTGATAAGGAATTCAGACTCTGACTGGGATGGCTCTAGCCCCAGTAAGGGCCCCCAAGCTACCTTTGTGCCAGATATTTTGCATGACAACTTTCAAGAGAGTGGGCAGTTGGCCTCAGCCTCACCTGACTTGTGGACGGATGCGAGACAGCCCTTCAGTTTGAAAGCAGATGGTGGGAACCCTGATCTACTGACGCACTGTGAGCGTGACGACAACTCTCAGGCTTCCCGCAGCCCTGATGTATGTCACGACTCTGAGGCGAAGCAGGAGTACGAGCAGCACATCAGTGCCTTCACGGGACCTGAAGAGGGGCCCCGAGAGCTTTATCTCACTGAGCCAGAGAACGAAGAGGAGCCAAGTCAGGAGCCCGGGCAGGAATTTGTCCCCTACAGTCCCAAACTCTATTCTGAAAATGCGATTCCATTGCCTCCAATTGGCGATCAAGCAAACATAAATTGCTTCTCCCAGCGTGCTGCCGAGAAAGGTTCTCCTGACGCTTCTGAAATAAATGGTGACAAGAATCCAGGTTTAAAAGCATCAGAGATAGGAACCAGTCCAGATCTAGCACCGATTTTGGAACCTGTTGACAGAACAAGCCCAAGGATGGAAAATATGGGAACCAGCATTTTTGTTACTCAGCAAGAGACACCTGTGGAAGGAAGTGCTTCTTGGCTATCAGAGGGCTTGTCTCCGGAGAGTCAGACAGGTGCAGAAGCCTTGTCTGGTGGTGAACCACCTTTTGCTTCTGAGAATCCTGCCATGGTTACTGATGCTTTGTTAGCCTCAGACACGTGTCTGGATGTAAGCGAAGCTGCCTTTGATCACAGTTTCAGCGATGCCTCTGGTCTCAACACGTCCACCGGGACAATAGATGACATGAGTAAACTGACATTGTCAGAAGGCCACCCCGAAACCCCAGTCGATGGGGACCTTGGGAAGCAAGATATCTGCTCTTCAGAAGCCTCATGGGGTGATTTTGAATGTGAAGTAATGGGCCAGAACATTGATGAAGATTTCATGAAGGAGCCTGAACACTTCCTCTATGGTGGGGACCCTCCTTTGGAGGAAGATGCTCTGAAGCGGTCGCTGACACCGTACACACCTCCCTTTGATCTGTCCTATCTCACAGAACCTACCCATGGTACTGAAACAGCAGAGGAAGCTGGGTCACCAGAGGATGAGTCTCCGGGGAGCAAAGCAGCAGAGATAGTCCTTTCTGCTCTTCCTGATCAAAACAATGAGGGAAACAATGCTGAGACCCCAAACGGACAGCCTGGACCCCAGCTGGTTGTGCTGCACATTGAGGAAGACCCTGAGTCGGTTTCTTTGCCTGTAGAAACAGGATCCACTGTTTTGTCTCCATCAAACTTTGACTGGGAAGTAGAAACCAATAATTCTGATTCACCAGCAGGTGGAGACATAGGACCACCAAATGGTAAGACCCATTTCTCTATCCTCCAAACAGCTGCTTTGATTAAACCAGTGCATTTGTAAAACACATTCTTCTTACCAATAAGGGTAGAGAGGAACTAACCACATTTGCAGGTCACGCCTAATTGGATTATGTATAGCAGCAGTAAAAATCTACATGTAATGTGCATGTGATGCCTATCCCTGATAGTGTACGAGAAAGTTAAAGCTCTACAAAATAAAAATATTTCTTAAGTTACCTCTTTTCAGAAGATCGTTTGCAAAGATCACAAACCACATAATGTGTTAATTAATTCTGGTTGTCTTCTTCTCACCTTCCACTTCCACTTCTAGGTGCCAGCAAGGAAATATCAGAGTTGGAAGAAGAAAAGATAATTCTTACCCAAGAGCCTGAACAGATAAAATTCAAACACGAGGAGGAAAGATGCACAGAGAAGAATAGAGATAATCACGTCCTGCACATGGATTACATTCTTGTAAACCATGAAGAAAATTTACCCTTGAAGCCAGAGGCCTGTGAAGCAAGACCAAGCACCTCTGAATTAGAAGAGTCGTATACAGGTTCCGAGGAAATGAGGCTGCCTAAAACTCAATTAGCAAGCTTCCCAGACACGTGTCAGCTTGCTTCCTTAAATGAAAGAAAAGATCATTCTGCAGAGAGAATATTTTCCAAACATGATGAGAGATTATCATTTGAGAGCCCTGTGCAAGATCAGAGTTGGATGGTCGTGGGCCATGGTGAGGCTGGCAATCTTTCGTCAGAAGAAGCCAGGGATGCAGGGACTGCATGGCCTGGCAAGACTGTGGAGCCATTCCCCGATCTCGGCATGAACAGGACCCCCCAGATGCAAGTTTTGGGAGAAATAAAGCCTCCGGAATCTTCAGCACTAGAGGAAGCTTCTGGTCTGATCAGCCAATCACGGAAGAACAAGAGCCGCAGCAGGGCCAGCCCGGATGCTGTTATACTGCAGCCTGTCACCCATGACAATGAATGGGAAATGCTTTCACCACAGCCTTCTCAGAAAAACATGCTCCCTGACACGGAAATGGAGGAGGAGACTGAGTTCCTTGAGCCCAGAACCAGGAAACCAAGATCAAATGGGTAAGCAAAATGTTGGATTCATTTTTTCCTAAAAATCATTTAATTTAGAAGCCTGGAGATTGATGAGGGGTTATGGACTATGAAGAATACCTGGATGACACTTGCTTTGCTCAGACGTATTGTGAGGCACCCCGTCACTAAGAGCAGTGACTAGACAATTGTAAGCCCAAGGATGATGCGTGCACATTTTCACCTGAAAAATGCCCTTCCATTTCCATCTAAACTTTTATCTACCCTCCTGACTCCCTTTCCCGCCTACTTCAGTATCTATGTGCCTTTTAAACAGGCATGTAGAAATGGACGGCTGTGGCGTTTGTTACTTAATCAGACCCTACTATGTGCAAGGCAGTTGGCACGTGTTATCTCATTTAAACCTTATACAGGGCTTGAGGGGATCAAAGGATGGGGTAGAACTGAAAGACTCAAGGGCTCAAAGGGTTCTATATCTTGTCTAGAATTAAGTAACCCGAGTGAACTCTGGGATTCAAAGCTTTCCATTTCCAAAGCTCACACTTTCCTGGCTGACACGCTTCTGACACAATCTGGTTCCTGTCTCGCAGAAACAGCGGTGCTTTCTGGTTTTACGTAAGCAGCTAACTCACGAGTGGAGATAAGGAGACTCCACACAGGCTCCACGTGTTAGTGTGAAACGTTTATGACCCAATTGGCTATAAAATTGGCAAACGCTCTTCACATCAGTGATTCAATCATTCCTTCATTCACTGACCCATTTATTCACTCAACTATATTGTTTTTTGATAATTTGCTCCGTGCCATGTTTCAGGGTAGCCAATGAGCATATGATATACCAGCGACTAGGATGTATGTCATTACTGCCCTCAAGCTTTCAGGCTCTGCTGGAACTGTTTAACATTCTTCCGTTCTCTTAATTTGCCCCCTATAAAGCCCTCCTTTCTTCAAACTATGAAAAGGACAAATTGTGAAAAGTCACTGAAGTGAAGGGGGAAATTTTTGTTTCCTCCTTAAAATGCAGTAGAGAAAAGATATCTTTTTCTAACTCGGTTTGGGAGCATAAAGGACTCCACACATCACATACCCACTGTGAGTCAAGCTGGATTGCAGTCTGGCCCTACCGTTCTGGCTTCTATATTTTAGGATTAACCCCAGGCTTCAGTGTTCTCATCCATAAAATTAGTGGGTTGGGCTGGAAGATCTCGAGCCTTCCTGCAGTATTCAATTCTGTGAACTTAATTTCTGTGGAAACAGAATGTGACCAGCAGAGCTTTGGCATTCACAAATTACATTTCTTGATGAAAGGAACAGAGACAACAGAGAGAATAGCAGAGTTTACTGAGGGTTCAGAAAGTGCTATCGCACATTCAAGTGCAGTTTCGTGAGTCCAGACATTTTCAGTTAGCCCTATCTTTCTTTCTTCCTGTCAAGCTATTTCCTTCCAGAGAGACCCCAGATCTGTTATCAGAAAGAGAGCAGCAGACGGATCCCAGCAGCCCTGCTGGCACAGTTACAGATTGAGCTCACAATGCAGGCAGCCTTGACTTGGCGGGGCCATTGTTTGGCTTCTTCGCTGCATTTTGCACACGCCCCTGAAATCCAACAGATGACAGTCAGTCTTCAATTGTGTCACCAGCACCTTTTCTTTCAACGAGGTTTCTTTGCTCATCTCTCTCCATTAAGCCTCCGTAATCATAACACTTTTCTCACAATGGGATCGGGGCAAATGTTCCTACCAGCATTTATGTTACCTTCTGCATAAATAATTACAGTGAATGTTATTTGAAAGTTTTCTTTCATGGTAGATTTTAGGAGGATATAGCTTTGTCTAAAGCAGTGGTTTTCTATGTGGGGTATTCAGACCAGCAGCTTCAGTACCCCCTGGGTACTTGTTAGAAATGCAGATTATGGGGCCAGGCACAGTGGCTAATGCTTCTAATCCTAGCAATCTGGGAAGCTGAGGTGGGTAGATTCCTGAGCTGGAGAGTCGAAGACCACCTTGAGCAATAGTGAAACCCCATCTCTAAAAGCAGTGGGGCATTGTGGTGGGTGCCTGTAGTCCCAGCTACTTGGGAGGCTGAAGCAAGATGATGGTTTGAGCCCAAGAGTTTGAGGTTGCTGTGAGCTATGATGATATGGTACTCTACCCAGGGTGACTTAGTTAGACACTGTAGAAGGAAAGAAGGAAAAGAAAGGAAAGAAAGGAAGAAAAGAAAGAGAAATGCAATTCACCAGCCCCACCCCAGACCTCCCAGGGCAGTTCCTGATGCTCAGTAAGTTTTGACGACCATTGATTTAAAACATACTCCCAGGCCTCTAGGCATTTACAGTTTAATTAAATTAGAGTTAGACATATATGAAAAGGCAGATGATAGTAAGTCTTAAATATACATACCCACCAATTAGGAGCACTTGCTGGGAACTTTATATGCACTGTCTCATGTTACAATAGTAACTGTGAGGTAAGAATTATACAAGTGAGGAAATAAAAGGAGAGATGTCTGTTTAGGGCTCCTTTATAAAGCAGGGACCAGGGACGGCCTGTTAGCCATCAGACAGAGAGGGCAAAGCGCCTTCTGTGTGCCCACAATACCTTAAGGAGTCTGGGAAAATGTTTTAATTTTTTTGAGTCAAAAAAATAATTATTATCACCTTATGGATGTTTGTCTGTACACCAACACAATTGTAAAATAAATTTTAAAATGTTTTTAATGATCGAAGAGGCCCATGAAAGCGGAAATGCCAAGGGCCCACAAGAAGTCATACCGTAACTCTGACAGGTACAATTAGAGATGGGCATTAAAGGAAAGTCATATTTAGAAAAGCAAGGAAGAGGGTAAGAGGCCAGCCAAGCGAACAGGGAAGAATAAGGTTAAGAAAATCATGGAGACAGAAAGGGAATCACAGAAGCAATATAGTGAGATAGCCATATTTTCTGAAAGAGAATCTGAAAACATCTTCTGACATATAATTTGCCTATAGCAGAGAATATCCAAAAATCAATACCAAAAAATTTAAGAAAACCTCTACATCAAACAAAGCAGGTTCGTAGTATGTGCAATATGATCCATCAGCTACAAATCAGCTTTTTCTCTACCCTCCCACAGCCTCACCCTAAACTATTTTGAAAGTAGTAAGCTACATTTTCAAAGCCTGAAAAAGCATTAGAATGATGCCTTTCTCCTCATATTCCACCTACTGACTCTAGTCAACAAAACTTGTCACTAAAGCTAGAAGATAAGATAATCTTTTTGCCTTGAGGTTTTCAGTACTTCATTCATGTTGCCTGGAATCAATCTCCCCAGCAACCTTTGCCAACACCTTGGTCATCCTGCCGCTATAGACTGGTCCAGCAGAGGATCAGATACCAATACCCTCAGACACTGATGGATATGCCTGATCTGTCCTACCTGGTCACAAAGAGTATCCTCTGGGGCATCTGCAGCAAACAAGCCTTTCTTAAAATAATGAAACATTTAGATGTTTATTAAACAAAAAAACCATAGGTGTAAGAATGATGTGTGAAGAAAGGGGGAAATTTGCGTATGTATTAGTCAGGGTTGTTCAGAAGAACAGAACAGGAGATATCTGTATGTGTAGTCCTTCCTTCCCTCTCTCCCTCCTCACCCTTCTCCACTTCCTTCCTTCCTTCATTAATTCCTAGCTAACTATTGAGAGGGTTTTAGGAATTTGGTTCATGCAATTATGGGAGCTGGCCAGAGCAAAATCTTAGGGCTGGCTGGCAGCTTTGAGACTCAGACAATAGTCAATATTGCAATCTTGCATCGAAATTCTGCAGGGTAGCAGAAAGTCAGATAGGTTTCTTCATTTCAGTCTTGAGGAGAATTCCTTCCTCAGAAAACTTCAGACTTTATTTATTTATTTATTTGTTTGTTTATTTTAGAGACAGAGTCTCACTATGTCACCTTTGGTAGAGTGCTATGGCAGCACAACTCACAGCAACCTCAAACTCTTGGGCTTAAGCGATTCTCTTGCCTCACCCTCCCAAGTAGTTAGGACTATAGGCGCTCGCCACAATGCCTGGCTACTTTTTTTATTTAGCTGGCCTCGGGCTGGGTTTGAACCTGCCACCCTGGGTGTATGCAGCTGGCATTGCCAAGACTTTATTATCAAACCTTCAATTGATTAAGGCCCACCCACATTATGAAGTATAATTTGCTTTACTGAAAGTCTGTGGATTTTATTGTTAATCACATCTAAAAACTACCTTTACAATAACATCTAAACTGGTATTTGACCAAATAATTGGGTACTATAGCTTAGGTAAGTTGACACATAACATTAACGGTTATAGGTTACAGTCAAAAGCCTGACCTATACACTAAGCTAGCATTAAACCATTAAAATGTTTAACTTTACCATCTGTCTGAATTATAAAGTATTAATCAATATACAAGTGTATTTTGTTTCTGTGGGTATAGACAAAGAAATAGTTGTATAAGGTGATAACAGGAAATCATTTCCAAGAGGACTGATACTACTTACCTAACCTTCAGAGACACATATGGGATGAGCGGAGGAGTGAAGGGCTGAGGGGAGAGAGGAGGAAATAGGAGAGGGAGTTGTCACATGTACTTTTGAAACAGAGTATTTAGAAGTAACCAGCTAGATGCAGTGGCTCATGCCTGTAATCCCAGCACTCTGGGTGGCCAAAGTGGGAGGATCACCTGAGTGCATGTGTTCAAGACCAGCCTGAGTGAAAGCAAGACCCTGACTCTACTGCAATAGAAAAATTAGGCAAGCATGGTGGTGGGTGCCTGTAGTCCCAGCTGTTCAGGAGGCTGAGGCAGGAGAATTGCTTAAATCCAGGATTGTGAGGTTGCTATGAGCTAGGCTGACACAGGGCACTCACTCTAGACTGGGACAACAGAGTGAGACTCTGTCTCAAAAAAAAAATAAATAAATAAATAAAATAAAAGTAGAAGTAACCTACCTTGATGTTTGTGGAGTTATCTTGTTTCCCGGCTCTATGAAGTGAGGCTTTCAGTACTCTCTAAAATAAAAAT